CGTCCCACCCCCTTCACGTAAAGTCACACTTGCTTCCCATTGCGCTGAAGGTTAAAGCCATACCTCCTACAGTGCGGCCTCTTGGGAGCTCTGTAGGCATAGTGGCTATGCGTTGGGTTGTGATCCATAAGGTCGCCAGTTCAAAACCACCAAGTGCTCCACTGGAGAAAGACAGGGCTTTCTACTTCCATGAAGCGTTACCGTCTCAGAAACTCACTAGAGCAGTTCCACCTTTCCCTATGGGGTTGCTGTGAGTCAGCATCTACTAGTTTGTTTGTTGAATGTGGCCTTGTTCCCAATGATTACTCATTGGGCTGGTAGCTGCAAAGTCAGCAGTTCAAAGCCATCAGCTGCCTTGTGGTAGAAAGCTGGGACTTTCTACTCTCATGAAGAGTTACAGCCTTGGACACCCGCAGGCGGCTGTTCTGCCCTGTATAGAATCGTTGTGAGTCAGAATCAATTGCTGGCAGTGAGTTTGGTTTGGTGAGTGTGGCCCCCACCTGATGACCTTGGGTCCCATCTCTTCCCCACCATCTCTTGCACCTCCCAGCCAGCCTGTGTATTTCAAACGCTGAGAACACTTCGCCCAGGTCCTCAGAATGCTGACACCCCTGTTCACCTCTTAAGCGTCTGTCTGCTGCATTGTCACTTTGGCAGGAGAGTGCCTGCTGCTGGTCTTGCTGGCTAGAGCCAGCCCCCTCCCCTGGTGGGGCACGATGTCCACCTGCCTCCCCCACAATGCCTGACCCTGTTGCTACTTCCCCTTTGTGCCTCAATTACCGCGCTTAGCCACACCTGCCACACCGAGCGTCTGAGCCTGTCTTAGCCAGAGATACAGAACAAGTGGAAAGAGAGGGAGAGAACAAGATGCCCAAACCCTTTGCCAGCAAGTCAGCTCCGACTCCACCATCCTGTGAGACAGAGCAGAGATGCCCCCACAGGGTGCCCAACACTGTAAGTCTTTTTGCCTCCACGTGGCAGGGGCAGTGGTGAGCCGTCAGCTGTTTGGTTCACAGCGAGAGCTGCCCCACGGCACCACCAGGGCTCCTCACGCAGTGTGAGGGAGCTTGACAGAGTCCATGGGGACGAACTGCAGTTAAACGCTCATGGAGTTTTTCCACAAACTTTTTGAAGGCCCCGCATGTCTACACCTGAAGGTATCTACCTATATGTGGACCTCCCTGGCCAAGCCACGGCAGAAAGGCCTGGTGATCGCTACAGCTAAGAAAATTCTGTCTAGTTGAGTCACTACTGAGTCAAAAGCAACAGTATTCAACAATAGCAACAACAACACACATAGAAGTTTTACAAACTGTGTGTGTGTGTGTATTCATTCAAGGCAAATCTAAAATCTGTTGTGACAAATGGGAGCTTCCTTCAGTGTGCGTTCCCTAGAGTCTATAGGCCAGGCAACGTGTGGTGGCCAGGTATCTTATTTCCAGTCTAGTCAGCAGAACACTTTTGCTCATAAGGCTTTCGGCTGACAGAGGGAGGCCCTCCACATAATGGAGAGTGATCTGCTTTCCTTAAAGCCAATTGCTTTATTCACGTGTGACTACTGCCTAATAGCATCTCGACTAGTGTTTGGCCAAACAGTGGGGTACCAGAGCCCGGCTGGCTTGGCACATAGAACTAATCATCGCCAAGCCAGAGCCAGCGTCAGCACTGGCACCAGACCTTCCCAGAAGTTCAGGCTGAGGCCAGAGAATGTGTGCTGTGGAACATGAGTGCAGTGTGTACCAGTCTATGTCACAGGGAAGGCATCAGTTCTGGACATCTCTTAGGGGTCCCCTTTCATGCCCCTTGATGTCTCCAAAGGGAGTCTCCACCTTCCAGCTCCTTGGGAGCAGCTGGTAGTTCTGAACTGCTGACCTTGTAGTTAGCAGCCCAGTGCAGAGCCCGCTGTACCGCCAGGGCTTGGATCAATTCAGTGGCAGTGAGTTTGGTTTTGGTGTTTTGTTCAGCAGATTTACCCAATGAAATACATTGTTTTATTTCTTGACTGCTACTTCTATGAATGGTGATTGTGGATCTAAGCAAGATGAAACGCTTGCCAACTTCAGCCATTTCTCCATTGATTTTATCTGTGGGTCCAGTTATGAGGGCTTGGGTTTTCTTTACATTGAGTCATGAGCCATACTGCAGGCTGCAGTCCGCGATCTTTATCAGCAAGTGCTCCAGGTCCTTCTCATTTTGAGCAAGCAAGGCTGTGTGGTCTGCATATCATCGCATTGTTAAGAAGCCTTCCTCCCATCCCGATGCCGCATCCACGTTCTTCTACGTAACAGTTAGTCTCATGTTACCTGCTTGGCACACAGATGGAATCATTGTAGTGACTGGATCCCACCCTGACCCACTCTGGTCCTGAGTTTAAGGCACTCGATCATTCCCTTGGTCTGTTTGAAAGACTGTCTCTTGGTCCAGGTTGAGGTTCCTCATAAGCACAATGGAGTGTTCTGGAATTTCCGTTCTCAAGGTTTTCCATAGTTTGTCATGATCCGTGTTTAAGTTCAGTGTTAAGTTGAACAACTCTGTAGTTGTTAAATGGACTAGCTTATTTAATTCTCACACCACCTCTCTGGACCCAGTTATCATCCCATTTCGTAGATGTTCTTGGAGGCTCAAATGTTATTGGAGCAAGGTCACACAGCTACTAAGTAGCAGAGCCAGGATTTGAGCCCAGAGCTGTCTACCCTTGGGGGAGCACATAGTCTTAGGTAGCTGCTGCCCTACGTTCTCCTTCAGTGGTTTGTCACTTACAGTTTATGAGATGTTTAGCTTTAAAGGACTGGAATCTCCCCTCCATTTTCCTCACTCTAACTAACTAATTTAATTTTTTAAACCGAAATTATTTTGTGCTTCAGGTATGAACAAAAACATTGCCATACAAAGTTGCATTAAGTCAGCCTCATAGTCTTGGCACCTTTGTATAGTATTTCTGAGGCTGTACACCTTTACAGAAGCAGACAGACTCCTCTTTTTCCCATGAAGTGGCTGACGTGTTGGGACTGATCGATAACCTTGCAGTTACCTGATAGCGCTCCCAGGGGTCCCTAACAGTCATGTAAAACAGTGTTACTTATCAATATGCGTTACTCCGTTTTTTAGAGTAATGAATCTTCCGTTTTCACTGTAATGTTTCCTTTATAATAATCATAGTGGCCAGGGGTGGCCATGGGGAGATATCCCACTGTTAACTGAAAGGTCGATAGTTTGAACCCACCAACTGCTTCCTGGGAGAAAGATGGGGTGCCCAGCTTGGCTAGAACCCCACGGACCCATCTGCTCTGTCCTGCGAGGCTGCTGCGAGTGGGAGTTCAACCGGACCTCAGTGGCTCTGACCTGAACCTGCTCATGAAAGCAACAGCAGTTGGGAGTTTCCTAGGCTTATTCTCTCTGATCTGCCCCATTGTGTAGGGGGGTGGCTCCTGCGAAGGTTCCCTGGTAAATGTAGTGGGTTAAGTGTGAGCCACCTAAGGTTGGTGGCTCAAGCCCACCACCCACTCTGCAGGAAACATGAGGCTGTCTGTTCCCTTAAAGAGTTAGAGTCTCACAGACTCTACGGGGCAGTTCTACTCCGCTTTTGGGGGTTGCTCTGAGTCAGAATTGACTGGATGGCGGTGGGTTGGTGGGTGTGGAAGGTTTAGCTCGTGGGAGGTGCTCGTGGGAACGGCAGGCAGGAAGAGCTGGGCGTGTCACCCCCTTTCTCTGTCCTGCAGCAGCTGTCTCCACTCCAGGGCTCGGCTGCCAAAACCCAGCCCATCGGGGCCCTGGGACAGAGTAGAGCTGAGGGAAGCAGATCGCTTCTTGTTTTTCCCAAGTAGCAGCTGGTGGGTTCAAACCACTGACCTTTGGGTTAGCAGCCCAACGCTTACCTCACTTTACACTCCAGCCTCAGGGTGGTAGTGACTCCTTGCTCTTCCAAGCTGTGCTACTGCCCCCTCCCAACCTTGTACTGCCCACGCCTCCCATTCCCGTGATTCAGTCTCATCTGTTGTAAATAAGTGAACCGGGACACACGGAGATGATTCCAGCTCAGAACAATCCTATGCGCATGTGCCTCAGAGTAAAACTGTCCTGTCTGGGGTTGTCAGTGACTGGGTTTCCCCCTCTGCCCTGAAATAAATTATCAGGCCTTTCTTGCAGGGCACTTTTGGGAGCATAGACTCCTCTAGTCTTTTGGTTAGACACTGGGCATGCTAACCATTTGCACCACCCGTGGACACCTGGTAAATAGTTGAGGGCTGGCCGCCTTGTAGGCTGGGCTCTGGTGTATACTCCATCCGCCAGTGTCCACCAATTCCTATCGTGACTTGCTGTCTTCGTCCAAGGCCTGGCAGCGGCACACTGACTGGGGGACCGTGCTCTAAGTAAAAATCACACAATGGCGTCCCTCAGGCTCCTGGGGGCAGCGGCACTTAGGGTGTTGGATGCCCCTGATACTCATCCAGCAGTTGGGGGCTCCCTCTCAGGCTCTTTCGTGGCAGCCCCAGTTTCCAGACATCAGCTCCTTCGGAGCACAGACCGTGTGGGGGAGCTGGAGCAAATCCATTCCCCAAGCTGGGAATATGCCCGGGCAAGTCCGTGGTGCTGCAGACCCCGGCTGTGGGTCTTCATTTGCGCTCAACAGAGTCACACATAGAGGTGCTGCTCTGCCAGCGTCCTGCTCTGTGGATTTCACAGTCCCTTCCAGCTGCTGTGTCACCGAGCCACCTAAATATAACATCCCCAGGCAAAATCTACAGATGGTGCTTGTCCACTGCCAAGTAGTCTTTTCCTCCGTGCTAAGCACTCTCGTCGCCGTCTCTCAACACTTTTCTTAAGATACCTTATCCCGCATGCATGGGTGTGTATATGTACATTCATGGATGGATGGATGGAAGGAAGGATGGATGGATGGATGGAAGGAAGGAAGGATAGGCAGATTGGGGCCAGATGCTCTGGGTATATCGTAAGTAACTTTCATTTACTAAACCTCGCTCCTCCTCCCCCACCCCCAGCCCTTTCTTTTCAGAAGATACATTTAGACAATCACCATTCACCTCCAATTCAAAAGACCTGCTGCCTGTCCAGTCTGTGCTGCATGGAAGAATATCGACTCCAGGTATGGTAACATTGTTGATTTTGCTTATGTCCGGGGCGTGGAGATGTTGCTTTTCTGAAATGTGTAGATTTTAAGATACTTGTAGCCTCTGCCTTAGAGTTCATCATGTAAACCTAGGTCAAAAAAATCAAAAACACACGAAGGGGGTGGTGGGGAACTCCATTTAACCAGCCACAAAAGTGGAGCATAAAATCTAGGCCGTAGTAATCCTCCTCATCCGGGCTTTCGGGGTGCATTGTTCCTGCTGGAGAAGGATTTCTTCTTCTTTGCTACAGCCAAGTGGAACCTGGAAATCATTTGCCACATGAGTTGTCAGTATTCCGAGCAGGAAGGTATAGGGGTGGGTGGGGGTGGGGACAGGTGAGAGCAGACATCTCCAGCACGGAAGGAGCTGACCCAGGTTGGGTGTGGGTCACCACTAAGACCTCTTTGGTTTCCATGGCAGCAGCACAGCTCATGAGAGCAATCTTACCACCCGCTTTTGCCTCTCTTCTCAGCCATTGTATCTGCTTGGTCCGCTTAACATTTCTGTCAGCCATCGCCACCATTCAGGCATCATCTTGCATCCAGGTCTTCCTTCCCCCGTCTCCTTTCTAGGCGTAAAGCAAAGGTGTGCTTGCTCTCCCTGTGTCCGCATCGTGGGCACCCTTTAGGACTTACGCATCCTCTGAGTCGCTATGAAACGGGAATGTTTGAGAACCAGCGGTGCGCTGTAGTCCACACTCCCCTCCCCTCTCTGCCCCATCCAGCTGGGCAGCCTTCTGCTAGTTGCTAGCCTCGGATCCCAGCCATTAGCCAAATGTCAGCAGCCCTTGGTGGTTCGCTACCAATGTATTTGCCCTAGATAACTGAGTGAATGGCCCGGGGTGTGTGTGCAGGAGGGGCCCCTGCCAGAGTGGTTGCCCTGGAGCCCCTTCAAGAATATAACCCCAAGAGTCCTCCATGGACCCAAGTAGGCTTGATCCTAGAGCACCGGGGAGCTCCCCATTTTATAAGTATGGAAGAGTCAGGTAGCACCCTCTGAAATACTGTCTGGGAACATCACAGGTCATCCAAGGTGGTGTGTGACAAGCAGCGGGGGACAGGTAGCACTTTGTCATTCTTTAGTCTTGGGGTGGCATTGCCCTCTCTTGCATTCCGCCACACATCCAGCCAGCGTCCAGGGACCTGCAGCCTTTCGGCTTTGCAGGGCTCTGCTCTTCCTCAGCACCAGAAATAACATGCTTCCACAAAAGCGTATTGCGTAATAGCTGGTTCTAGAAGAGAAGAGAAAGCCTGCCCAGTTTGTGTCCTCGCTCTCAAACCAGGGCTGTTCAAATTACCGTTTACTTCCCCCGGTGTCATTTTGAATAGCCATCTCCCCGTCCCAAAATTATTGCCCTGCTGTTAAGTTGATGGATTGCAACTTTCTAATGTCAAAATAACTGTCTAGCCATTGCTTGCCGGAGTGCCGTGACCCACACGGCCAGCATCCCATGATGGATGTGCAAAGCCTGAGTTACTGGCTGCGTGATTGGTTTGGCTATGTTCAAAGATAACTTTATTGGTCTAGCTAAAAGTTGACCACAGAGAATGGTACCCATCTGTGTTTCCCTGTGCATAGGGGAATGTTCTCTGATTTGCCTGATAGACTCAGACTACAAGTTGGATAAGCTCAAACTTACGTGCTCACATGTGGTCTTTCTGAGGTCAGCGTGACTGGGGTTTTTAAATTGTTAATTGCCAGGTGAACAGATAACCAATCTACTGAGCATCAAAAAATCACCTGTCTTCCATCAAAAGAGAAGCATGCCTCTATTATATTTTGCTAAAATAAATGGCTTTTAAAGGAGATATTTTAGAACAACCAAACAGTGAACGCTTTGAGAATGGCATTAAAGATTTTAAAAATGAGCAGTGATAGGGGCAAGCTTGGGCTCCTGAAAATCCCCGTCATCCGAAGAGTGCCCTCGAAAGCCTGGGAAGCTCACTTCCATTGAGCCGATTCCAGCTCACCGCGACCCCACAGGACAGAGCAGAAATGCCCCTGTGGGTTCCCGAGACCAGAACTCTTCGCAGGAGTAGAAAGCCCTGTCTTTCTCCAGTGGAGATGGCTGGTGGTTTCAAACTTCTGACCTTGTGGTTAGCAGCCCAACTCGTAACCACTACCCCCCACCCCGCCCCAGGGCTCCTAGATCTCTAAGAAGGCCTGGATCATCTGGACGGCTCGCAGAGAGGACCAGCAGAGTTAACAGCGTTCCCAGTGTCCAGGCTCCTGTCTTTGAGACACAGGCCAGTGATGAATGTCTACTGTCCACGTGCTACAGGACCCCCTTCCCTGTTCTCCAAGCCAAATTCTTCCAGAGGGGTCCTTTGGTGGCAAAACTACACGAGGAGCTTTCTTGTAGGCTTTACGTCCTTGCCCTCAGAGCGGCAGGCAGTGTGCTTGATCAGAAAGTGCATTCTCAGATCCTCTAGAGGTTTGACATAAAGCACGCCTTCCAAAAGCCAAACTCACTGCCATCAGTGAGGCCGACTCCTAGCAACCCTATAGGACAGGATAGAACTGTCTGTGAGTTTCCGAGACTGTAACTCTTTACAGGAGTAGAAAAACCCATCTTTCTCCCGAAGAGCAGCTGGTGGTTTAGAACTGCTGACCTTGAATTTAACAGCCCAAGAAGTAACCACTATGCCACCAGGACCCTGCAGTATGCCTTGAATCCTAGGTCCTGTGATATTTTTCTTGAATTATGAAAAATTATTAATCTCAAGGCACATCCTGCCCCCGGGGCTCTCAGATAGATATTGTGGATCTGCACTGGCTGCAGAGAGCCCTGGTGGCACAGTGGTGAAGTGCTTGGCTGCAAAGGAAAGGTCTGAAGTCCAAGTATACCAGCTGCTCTGTGGGAGAGAGATGTGGCATCTGCTTTCATAAGGACCCCAGCCTTGGAAATCCTGGGGCGGGGCGGGCACTTCTGGGGCCAGAATTGACTGGACAGGCTTGGTCTGGTTGAGTGGCAGTGCTGGGAGGTGTGGTTGAAATGAGGAAGTTGCAGTTTGAGTTGAGGTTCGTGGCATTTGGGGGTCAGAGAGTCATGGAACCCTAGAGGAAAATTTGAAAGACCAATTGGAAGCAGATGGCCAAGTCTTGGGAGAAAACAAGGACCAGGAACCTGAACCTGACAGAGACACTCCGGTTCTAGGGTGGCACTGTTAAAAGGACCTGGTTTGGTTGGCATGGAGAGGAAGCCATGCCTAGGAGAAGCAGGCAGAGGGATTGTTTGAGAGAATGGTTAGCTTCACTGTAATTAGCCTAACGAGGTGCTGTCAGGGCGATGCCCACCTGGAATGATTCCCCATAAGTCAGAGTTGAACTGTCCTCCTGAGGATTCGAGGGCTGATTTTGTTCCACAGAAGAAGATCACTAGACTTTTATTCTGAAGTGCCTCTGGGTAGATTCAAACCCTCAACCTTTCAGTTAGCACCTGAGCATGTTAACCCCCCTGCACCAGGCAGCACCCCAGCTTGGCTGTAAGCTGGCTACATTGGAAATGGTAGTTCCTGTACAGGAATGGGGGAGCCCAACGGCGGCAGCCAGCTTCCATGAGTAGGTACAAAAGCATTTGCAGTCAGTGGGACAGCTGTTCATATATCAATGAAAGCCTCTGAGTCCTTAGAAACCTCTCTCAGATCGTTTAAACATTACCTCCAAAATATTATTCATACTTTTATGTACTTAGCAAACCTGTCTTTCTACAGATAAATGTCAGCCTGGAGAATTAGCTCAAGCTCCCAATTAGGAGAGACCAGATTTAGTGAGTTCAGTGTGCCTCATGTCAGTCTAAAAACTCCCTTATAAATGCTGGGAAACCACTGCACGGCTGTGTGTGTGTGTGTGTGTCTACTTGTGTGTGTGTCTACTTGTGTGTGTGTCTACTTGTGTGTGTGTCTACTTATCTCCTAACTAAATTCTGGGAAACCACTGCATGGCT